TATATTTTAAAGTCTTTAGTGTTGATGAAAATATAGATAAACTTTTTTTTAAACTTAACATTACTGTAAAAATTAAAAGTAAAGAATTAGTAACCTAATTTAACCTAACCTTATGTTATTTCCGTTTTTACTGGTTGCGTTTAGCAGAACAAGTTGCTTAGCAATCGAACGTGATTGGCTCTTACTTTAAGAACCAACAAATTAACGTCGAATGTTGATAAGACAATTTAGCAATTGTTCTACTGAACGCGGCTAATGTTTTTGCTCAATAACTCTTTGTTTATAAGCATGTTCTCTTAAATGTGATTTATTATGGGAGCCTTCTTCTTCTTCTTTGCTTAAATGGTGCGTTGCCCCATTATATTATAAAACAATATTATATTATAAAACAATATTATAATCACTTCTAATGTATTAAACAAATGATCGTGAGTACAATATTTTGTTCTCGAAATATTTGTGACATATCATATATATACATATATATATATATATATATATATATATATATATATATACACATATATAGATATATTGTTTGTGTTCTAAATATATATATATTGTTTATGTGTTCTAAATATATTGTGGCGTTTTATTTCTTTTATTCCACATACACAAAAATAAAACAAGTGTGAATGTTTATATATATTTGAAATATTTTCCGCTGTAATACTATACAAAACGTGTTTGTGTGTGTAAACAGGAGGAAGAAATAGAAGTAGCAAACTTAAAAAAAAATATCCAAAACCAGCAGGACTGCGTTCGAGAAACGGACTCGTGTCACTCGAGCGTCATTCTATCTATGTTTTATATCTAATGAGTGATAAAGATAGAATGACGTTGGTGCGCACACAAGTGTTGTTCTCGAACACAACCCAGGACGCGAACACGAGACCCGTGGATTACTAGCGCGGCGCTTTGTCTACTGCGCCACGCCGTCACTTCAATAAAATTCTTTTTGGAACTCTACTTATGGTACGTGCTAAATTTCAAACCGCGATTTCTCCTAAACGCTAGAAAGGTGCGTCGTCTCCGAATAGCATTTGTTGCTTCTTCATCCATACTACATTCCTACAAAGTTTCGTCAAAATCGGTGACCCGAAAGGTGTATACTTCCCTTGTAAGTAGTCTAATCACGCTGTGTATGTTCTATTTGAGAGCGGTATGTGACAAAAGATTTTGAGGTTAGACTTTGTATAAAAAGAAGTAAATCCAGATCGCACAATGATGATTTGTAAACGTTTTTCGGAAGTTTATGCAAAGTTCATAAGTTAATATAAGTTATAGGCAATATAAATTAAAAGTTCATAATCTATAAAAGATGACGCATAAAGTGCTATTAATTATGTTTAACTTTTAAACTCAAAAATGTACAGTAAAATTTTACTGTACAACCACTTGGTCGTACAATCTTGCTTTGATCTCTGTGTCCTTCATTTCATAATTCTTCTTTTCGTAATTCAAATTTTTGTACAAACTATTAATCGGAATGAAAAACGCTTCTCCAGGAAAACAGAGAATATACTAAAGATTTGCAGCAAGCATAAAAATTCAAGAAAAACAAAAAAAATTCAAAAAAGATTTTGAAGTCCTATAAGACAAGAAAAATTTGAACTAATAGTAATACAATTTTAACCCTCAATCGCTATACGGGATCTGAAAGACCTCAGCGAAAGTTTACAAAAATGATGCGTTTTGCATACTTTTTTCTTTCGCCAATTTTTTTTCACTAATTTAAATTTGAAATTTTTAAATAAAACCAATAACATCTTATTATAGAAGGTTTGAAAAGTACTTAGTAATTGTGCTACATTAAAATATTGATTTACGTTGTTGTGATGATCGTTTAAAGTCGTTGGGGTATCTTAGATCCCATGTGACAGTTATGAAATTCTGAAGAGTTGCGGCGGTTGAGGGTTAAAAAAACGTCAGACACATACGTCTATTCTTGTCTCTCTCATGTCATCTATCTTTGTTTTGGTTCGACTCGGTCCCGAGAGATGGCGCCACTTACCCAATAGCATAGCGGCTGAGTGGCAGCTGAGCGGATTTTTGCTAACGGTTCAGCATCCTCTTAAAGGATAAAATTAATTAACGAAGTGCTTCTAACACGATTGTGCGACTGACGAATAGAAAATATGATTTGCGATAAATCGTCGAAGATAACGGCAGCAGCGAATAATGATAAGTAGAAGATAGGAGAAAGTAAGTAAGAGAGTAAGTAGAAGAGGAAACATCGTGGGACGATGAATATCTTAGATACAGAAAAATTTTCATGATCTGTGGCAAAATGTGATCATGTTTCTAGTTTTGCTAATACGACTATAAACGTTCAAATATTGGAAGGGGGAGTGTGTTGTATCTTAGACGTACTTATATACCGTCTCAAGAAATTATGACATGTTTGAACCAGGGACTTATTACCGGTATGATTTCAATACCGGTATTATACTAGAGATTGTATACCGTTACCGTTATAGTACCGAAACCGATATGTACCGAAAACCGTAATAAAATACCGGTATTATTTTGGTATTCCTACTAATGATATTCTTAAAAATTAGATAAGTTAATTAAAGCAATTTTTGTTGCATAATTAATCTTCCTACCGCTTATTGGACTTATAGACCGACAAAATATAAAGACGCTTTTTTTTATAAACCAATTGAAGCAGCTGTTTATTCATGCTTTCTTTTATTACGTAGCATGACTAATGTAAAGTGAAATTTTTAACAAATGTGGATATTGATAAATATGTCTATGTGTATTTTTTGTTACTGTTTTTAATTATATTAATTATTGTTACTGTTCTTAATTATATAAAAAAAATATAATAATTTAAATAATATTAAGTTTCTGTGCGGCAGTTTTTTATAAACATTATATTATTAAAAAGTGTTATCAACATAATGACAACACTTATAGTTTTAAGATATTACTTGATAACACTTTTTAATAATATAATGTTTATAAAAAACTGCCGCACAGAAACTTAATATTATTTAAATTATTATTATTTTTTTATATAATTAAGAACAGTAACAATAATTAATATAATTAAAAACAGTAACAAAAAATACACATAGACATATTTATCAATATCCACATTTGTTAAAAATTTCACTTTACATTAGTCATGCTACGTAATAAAAGAAAGCATGAATAAACAGCTGCTTCAATTGGTTTATAAAAAAAAGCGTCTTTATATTTTGTCGGTCTATAAGTCCAATAAGCGGTAGGAAGATTAATTATGCAACAAAAATTGCTTTAATTAACTTATCTAATTTTTAAGAATATCATTAGTAGGAATACCAAAATAATACCGGTATTTTATTACGGTTTTCGGTACATATCGGTTTTCGGTACATATTGGTTTCGGTACTATAACGGTAACGGTATACAATCTCTAGTATAATACCGGTATTGAAATCATATCGGTAATGATGGTTTGAACATGCAATCTATTGAGTTGCGTTTAAAATAATACACACGGTGTGGCTGCGGTTTTATAGTTTTTAGAAACTATGTCGTTTGCTTGGCAATTTGTCTTTGGATAACCAATTAAAAAAGTTATTAATTATTCGAACTTTTTAATTATAGATTTTACTAAGTTTTTAAATTTTATTTATTTTATTAATTTTACACCAACTAAACAAAAAAAATAAAAATGCTATCAAAATAAGAGAGAGTGACAACACTTTTCCCTATTGTTTATACAAACATAGCATTTTGTTACTATAAGATTAACTCTTCACAGACAGAGCTCAAAAAAGATCTACTAATCAGACAAACTGGGTCTGTGAGACCCATGCGACATTGAAATCGATTATCTCCGCAAAAAATCAATATTTTTTCAATTAACGAAAATATTCGGCTCCAGAAGTTTAAAACTAACAATAAATTAGTGGTCATTCGTCATGAATTACGCTGGATGGTCGTTGCGAAATAAATAAATATATATATATATATATATATATATTTAAGACTATGTTTCTTTGTGTAAGTATTACACATAAAATTTGAATTGAAATTTCAAGTCTTAAATTTATATAGGATGCTATATTTGCATCTCGATAAATACTCATATACCCTTTATCTAAGTTTACAATATTGCAAAACTTTGTTAATATTTTGTCAATTTAAAAAAAATTTTTTTAAATCAAAAGTTTGGATAATTCTGCGTCGATAAAAAACAAATTAAAACCATCTATAGTAGTTACAAAAATATAAGCGTTAAAAAAACAAATTGTTACTAGAAACACCGATGCGTGATTTTTGAGTGAATCTGGAAAACTCATGTCTGTCCGTGAAGAGTTAATCTAGGTAATAAACACAAAACGCTTAAGAAGAGGTACATAAGTCGGCATGTATATATATTTAAAAGTTGCGATTCATTGCGTGATTATGCTGAGATTTATAAGACAAAAAAATTTTGCAAAAACCGATAAATTAAAAACAGCTACTTGGCATATATGTGTATCACTCGTTTTCAGTTTATAACAATGAGCGTCTCTGTAGCTCGAATTTAAATTTTTGAATTTTTATAATTTTAAATTGTTAAATTTAAATTTTTATAATTAATTATGTATATATAAAATTTTACGTGCAAAAATAAACAGTTTCATCATCTGTATTAATTTCTTCATCTAATTTCGGCGTCGGAAAGCAACATGTTAGGTTATCGCAGTGTTCTTAATATCGGCCATTCCACTGCTGTTCTTGATATTCCCGCTAGGTTTTTCTCCCGCACAATCGCGACTTCCTTCTATTATTCAATCTACGTCCAACTTAAAATTACAATTTTCAAACTTGAACTATCTTAATGTACTGCAAAGAAAACGCGAGATGCTGATGTAACAAACCGGTGAAATATTTTGATCACTCCAAATTGAGCAATTTTCACAGTATGCAACGCAGGCGTGTGTGATTGGCGTTGTACATGCTATGTGCACCTCGTCCTCCGCTCAAACAGCGCACCTCAGTTCCGCAGAGTTCGCCGACGAGTTCACATCCTTCCGCACGAAAGACGTTTGGCATCGCTTTGTTGCGCTTCGCGATGAAGTATCGCGAAAATTCTAAAAAGTATTGTAATAGTTAAGTTTTTTTTAACATCTGATTACGCAAAAGTGCTTTGAACAATATGAACATCAGAGGAAAAGTGAATTAAAAAAATTTTGTGACATCAAAATCGAGACGTAAAAAAAAATTGATTTTCGACTTTTTTTTTGACAGAAAAATGATACGCCGTTATTGACAACAGACTTTTCCGTAAAATCAGGTAATAGCAAATAACATTGTTTACTTTGTTCATTGTAATTGTAGTTTCTATTTAACATTTTGTGTGTGTAATATTGTTTACTATTCAAGATTAATTCCTTAAAAGTACGCAATTACGTATAAAATTTCAATTTTAGTTAAGAAATGCAAGCAATGAAGCGGAATTGAACTTATATTCTTAAGTAAACTAATTTTTTTAATTACAAATTTTCTCATACTATGTAAGGGGAAAAAGGAAGATACAAAATCGAAGAGAGAGAGAGAGAGAGAGAGAGAGAGAGAGAGAGAGAGA